TTCCACTACATTTTCAGTTTCCATGTATTCCTCATATTGTTCTTCTTCACTCTCACCTTTGTCCATCAATTTTTCATTTTTATCTATCTCATTACTTTCTTCTATCTCTTTCTCATACATGCTTCTAACTTTCTTCTCATTAGTTTGTTTTAACTCTTCTTTGTTAATTCTTCCATGTAAGAACACTACATCTCTCATTATTTCAACTTCTCCTTTATCTTCAAACCACACTCTATAATAACCTTTGCTATGACTGCCATAACCTACAAACCTTCCCTTTATTCCTTTCACGTCCCACTTTTGTCTCTTTTGTTTAGGAATGTGTACATAAACTTCAGTTCCAAAAATTTGCAAATTATTTATATCATAACTTTTCTTATACAACAGTTCATATGGAGTTTTACGCTTTTGGCTACTATTGCCTGATCTATTTATTGTGTACACTGCATTACTTACTGCTTCTGCCCACAATTCTTTACCAACATTAGCATTAATCATCATAGTTCTAGCTGACTCTACTATTGTTCGCATTTCTCTTTCTATCCTTCCATTCTGTTCTGATGTGTATGCTACAGTGGTTTCATGTACAATACCTTTCTTTTTTAGTATCATTTCTAAATCCCTATTTTTGAATTCACCACCTCCATCTGTTCTAAGCCTTTTAACCTTACACTCAAACTCATTCTCAACATTCATAAGAAAAATTTTAATTCTCTCTTTCGTTTCATGCTTACTTTTAAGAAAATACACATACCTGTAATTACTGTAGTCATCCTTTAGAAATAAGAAATATGATGACCCTCCCAATGAACGCACTTCCATAGGACCACATAAGTCTGCATGCACCAACTCTCCAGATCGATTTGCACGGCTATTACTGTCAAAGAAAGGTAACCTATGCTGTTTCCCCTGTATACAAGACCTACAATAATCAATCTGCCCTTCATATTTAATATTCTGTTTATGTAATATCTCTTTTACATGTCTTAAATTTTGGTGGGCTAACCTCTCATGCCATTCAGACAAACTCAAAAACACAGAGCTATCAAATACACATAGAATTCTAAAATCCATTAAATACAAATTTCCAACTCGTTTAGCTTGAGCAACAACTTTTTTTATCTGACATAAATTTACAGTAATTTTTACTTAACTTTAACATATAACCATGATCAATTGCTTTTGTTACAGAAAATAAATTTGCTTTCAAATCAGGAACGTACAGAACATTATGCATTACAGAAGGTAAATACTTTGTTCCATCAAATGCCAAAAAATTAATATTACCAATTCCCTCTACATTTAAATATTTACCACCCCAACAATTACCTTTTTATTCATTTTAAGAAAATTAGAAAGCCAACTTTTCTTATATGTCATATGTTCACTTGCACCTGAATCCATTATAAATTCAAAACTATTTTTAAAGAATGGTTCCTGAACCAAAAAGGCATTATCATTTTTATTTTTAATCTCTGCAGTTTTACAGTCTCTAGATAAATATCCCACTCTATTACACTGATAACACTTAACAGGCTGTTTACACTCCGTAGCTATGTGACCCATTTTCTTGCACCGATAACATTTTCTTTGCCTACAGTCACGCTTATAGTGGCCAACTTTACCAAACACAAAACACTTACGCTCACTTTCACTGTTAGAAATCTTCTTTTTGAAATCTCTCATAAGGAATGCTGATGAACCCGACCCATCTTCCTCAGATTTGTTACTCCTTTCCTCTTCTATCAACAATCTCGATGTTAGCTCTTTCACATTTTGCTGATTTTCTGGTACTGACTCCCATGCACTTACAAAATGCTTATATTTCTCAGGTAATGTCATCAGTATCTTTGTTATAATCATTTTGTCTGATGGTGCTTCATTGAAACTTATAAGCTGGCTTGATATTTCTTCGATTCTGGAGATGAACTTTAAAATAGGCTCCTCAAACTTCAAGTTAAAGAATTGCTGTTGAATCAAGTGAACACTAACTTGTGAAGAAGGTTCATATACAGTGATAAGTCTATTCCACATTTCTTGGCTTGTGTTGCATGACGATAGATACGTCAAAACCTGCTCATCGATCCTTGTAACCAAGATCTCCTGCGCCTTACAATCGTTTTCTTCCCATAACTCTTTCTCTTTCGATGTAGCCTCCTTTGATAATGTGCTTTTTCCATTAACGATGTCGAACAATTTTCTCGCCTTTAACAAAACCGTAATTTGGAATTTCCATACCGGCCAATTGCTGCCGTTCAGTACAACACATCTCTTTTCGTCCCTCGTAACGCTGTTATTCCGTCTGTTCCAACGAACTCCAAAATCTTTTTTTATTTTATAACCTCTCGTGTTTCGCGCAACAGTAATCAACATCAATCAGAGTCTCCTGGGCACATAACCTATTGACGGTTATGAATGGAGGATAGTGAATTACGGAAACCAACCTTCAGCATATATTTAACATTTAAACTCACATCGTTCAACTTAACACACACCGCACACGAAGAAGAGCCATCTTGATCAATCTTACTCCTCTATGGATACTTCCTCTCTATGGTTATCTTACTCCTCTATGGAAACTAGAAACCAATCGACAATTTCAGTCATAGACGATCACGATCAAATAATTTTACAGAAACTAACATACATACTTCAAGAAAATAAACAGGACTTACTATCGTCGCTAAAAATTTTTCTTAAAGCTGAGTTGGAACATGCTATGTCGACATTCAAGGCGGATTTTTTGCAGGGCCTCGAAAAAATCAAAGTTGGACAAGTACAGTCGGCCAAGAAAGTGGTCTACCACCCTAAGGTTGAATTTCGCGTGTTACGTCAACTAACAACAAGGTTGATTTTCCGTAGCATTAATTTTTTGACACGTCAAGTACACGTCATTATTGCTATCTTCATCATTTTGACGTAACCTTTGACAGTAATTATCTATACCTATAATAAAAATGTAACAAGGTTACATTTGTAAGATATTTTGGAAAAAAAATATATGGACGGCCTTCATAAGACTAATAGAAGCCAAAAATATTTTTTTTTCTGTCTGTCTGTTTGTATGTTTAAATACTTTAGAGTTAGAATATCGTAAATAAAGTCTTATAGTCTACAAATATCCTACATTAGAATGTAGATTAATTATATTTTAATACAAATAAAAAAAATCAGTAGGTAGTGAAATGCTATGCGTAAGAAGCTATGCGTGTTATAGGTCTGAATATACTGAGATAACGGATAACAGAAATGAATAGCGACGAAAAACATATTGCGCCGACCCATAGCTTAGTGCGAGACAAGGGCTAAAACTAGAAGAGATAGTGAAAATGCTAATTCTTTGGTTGTTAAAAAATATATACAATTCTTTTATAAAATTATAATTCTTAAAATCTTGTGTAGCCGCCATCTGCCTCTATAACAGCTTGGAGACGTTCCCTCATCGAGCCCACCAGTCTTGAGCAGATATCAGACCCACGTGTTTCCTCCCAAACCTCATTGCAGTGCCCTTGTAGTGCTTCTGCTGTTCGTTCATTACGGTTACACCATCTCTGAACCATAAGACCCCACATATTTTCAATAGGGTTGAGATCTGGCGATTTTGCAGGCCATGGTATCAAGTTTATTTCCGGATGTGCATCAAACCAAGCACGTGTTACCCTTGCTTTATGTAAGGGACAGTTATCCTGTAAATAATTAAATTGACGCATTTCATTTTCTGGATAAACGTTCCGGACGGATGGCAACATAGCATTTTGGAGAACATCAACATAATCTGATGCCGTTGCTCGTGGTGGCAAAAAGGTCAAGTCTCCAACACCATCAGCAGTCATCCATCCATACAAATTTACCGAGATACGACCCGATTCTCTATTTGGCACGACATGATTTTGCGTGTATCGCGTTTTATTGAATCGCCAAAGGTGTAGACGCCCGTGTTGACTGGATTTAAAAGTTTTCTCGTCACAGAAAACAGTGTTACTCCAATCAAAATCCAAATATTCTATGGCGAAATTTAATCTGGCCATTCTATGAGCGTCAGTCATATAAATTTTCTTTGCATAACGCCTGTGAGTGTAAGCCCATGTAATGTAAATGGTTTCTAATGGTTTGGAGAGTCACGTCAAATATGTCGGCAAAATAACGCGTTGGTATAAAGCCAGATTCCTCATAACTCCGTCTCATGAAGACTCGCTGAGTATCTGATATTTCAGGTCTACGACCGCTACGACTCCGAGCGTTCAAATTCCCCTCCTCGCTTTCTCGTCTTATCCAAAGACGGACAGCTTGTCTCTATAATCAAAAATAAAATATGAACAGAAAAAATAAAAAAAAAAAATTTTCACTCGGACTTGGTCTGAGATTTTACATTAAACTCACGTCAGACATAATAATACCTACCGACACATTTAATTCTCTAGAAATCTCACTAATATTCAAACCATCATTGTGTAATGCGATTATTTGTGCTCTTTCGTTAATGGATAAATTTCGGGGCATTGTAGTGTAAATTAATTAGGAAAATACCTACGGAAAATGCCGAGAAAATATTTGACATGAATTGTCAAGTGATATATTCTTTTTTAGTAAAAGAGTTTTCGTAACAAAATAGTTTCCACTTTGAAGTGACCTACTTAAATTTTAAATTTATGAAATATTGTGAAGACTATTTGTTGTTGCAAATTATTATCTAATGCATAGGCTGCAAAGGTCAAAATAACATTTGTGCTCTACGACAACACGTCAGCATTGTGCATCTCTTTTATTGTTTGTATGCAATTCTAAGATTCGCCTTTAGCGATGCTTTAAAGACACGGGAAATGTTGTCAAAACTGGTGGACCACTTTCTTGGCCGACCGTACAAATCAAACAGGACTTGCCCGAGTTAACCCACAAAATAGCACAGTTAGACAAAGAGTACCGTATACTTCAAACTGAGTGCGAATGTCTACGGAAAAATATTGATTATTTGCAACAAACAAGCAAATTTCTCACAAAAAATGAAGTCACAGATAGAGTACTTATCCTACACGGACTTGCCGAAAATGAATGGCAATGTGAGTCAGAACTGATGAACAATATTGTATACAACTTACTCAATATCGACTTGTCAGGATATATCGAAGAGGTCAAATTCATAGGTAAAAGAAACAATAAAAGACCGGTAAAAGTTGAATTAATTAGTAAAAGAATGGCAAGAATGGTATTAGAAAACTCAATATAACTTGTTTGAGACTATTTGAAGATAAAAATAAAAGAAACGAAGACTTTAAATGGACTGTAATTCGAGGAAAATCTCAATATAATGAATATGTCGCGTCGAGTAGTCCGAATGCGTATGCGTGTGTCGTCTGAGTGTGTGTGGCGCCGCGCCGCACCCGGCATCGATGGCAGCCGGGTCCGGCGTAGTGATGTGCGCCCCCTCCTCGCTAGTGATGCAGGTGTAGGCGCAGACATACTCCCCGGCGTTGAAGAATCATCTTCAAGAAGAGAAGACTGGAAGTGGGCATATATTGTTGTAAGCTCGCCGGAGCACACCCTTTCTGGTTTTGATGTCAGCCACCCTCGCTATGCCGTCGGAGCTAGGGATAAGCTTTATGACTCTACCCAGAAGCCATACCATCGGTGGTGACGTCTTGTCTTTAATGACCACCATGGTCCCGACTTGAAGTTGACCTGAAGATTTCTTCCATTTGCATTTCTGTTGAAGTAGAGATACGTATTCGTTAGCATATCTCTGCCAAAAATGTTGTTTTAGCTTTTCGACCCGCTGATAGCGCTGAAGTGTCATAATGTTGACATCCGTCAGATCCGGATAGGGTACCGACGTGAGCGACCGTTCAATAAGGAAATGAGAGGGGGTAAGAAAGGTCAAGTCAGACGGGTCTGTTGACATAGGGGTTAGAGGTCTAGAATTTAAAATAGATTCAATTTGCGTTAAACAAGTTATCATTTCTTCATAAGTGAGATGTGATTGCCCTAATATTCTAAATAAATGAAATTTGACAGACTTTACCGCGGCCTCCCATAAGCCACCAAAATGTGGAGAGTAAGCAGGAATAAATTTAAAATTGATACCTTGACTATTCATGTCGTCTCTACAATTATATACTATGTGATTAAAAGCGCCCACAAACGCAGTCCCGTTGTCACAGTACAGCGTGTGTGGTTTGCCCCGTCGAGCAATGAATCTGTTGAGAGCACTTAGAAAGCATTCTTTTGTGAGATCTGAGACGAGCTCCAAATGTAACGCTTTAACTGCGAACCAAACAAAAACACAAATATAGGATTTGATTAGTCGGCCACCGCGACCTTTTCGATTGACAATCATCACTGGCCCAGCGTAGTCTACACCCGTGTTAAGAAAAGGAAACTCCAAATTTAGTCTTTCAAAAGGCAGATTACTCATTATTGGTTGTGTAGTTGTGGCCTTTTGTCTTACACAACGAATGCATGAACGTACTATGCGTCTGGCTAAATTCCTTCCCCCGAGTACCCAATATTTCTGTCGTACTTGAGAGAGTAATAAAAGAGGGCTAGCGTGAAGTGACGTTATATGTTGCATTTCAAATATTAATTTCGTGAGAGTATGCTTACTGCATAGAAGGATTGGGCAGGGCTTGAAACCGGTTCAGAATAAACCGTTTTTATTTAGGTAAAACCTGTTTTCTTGTAATGTTCCGTTCCGGAGCGGAACGAAATGCGGAGCGGAATTCGGATTTAAAAAGAAACGGTTAATTTGTTTGGCTAGTAAAGAGCAATGTCCGATCGCGACTCGTTGAAACATGTGCGTGTGTGCGTGTGAGTGTGCCGCTCATGCCCTGCGCACCGCCCGCCCGCGCCTGCGCCCTCGCCCGCACCCGGGTGGTTTCCCCCGCCCGCCACCCGAATTCACATGCGAATTAAATCATTTTGTTCTTGAGTTTAATGGAAGACGCTATTTCTGACCTGGTTTTATATAATTTAGAAGATTACCTTACTCGTATTAATATAACGATATGGGACGGAAGCGCAAATCGGGTATTTATCATTATTTTGATTATAATGATTCAACGAGGAAATCTAAATGTTTGATGGACGGTTGCAATGGTATATTAAAGGTAAGTACGATCTAACTGCAATGTTATTTATTAATTTAGGTATTTAACGAGGTCGGTAAGACTGATTATAAAATATATGGTCTAAAGATTTCCTAAGTAGGTAGATAGGTACTACTTAGTGGGTATGTGAATTGGTATCTGTTGACGAGTGATGATGATAAAATGAATAAGAAATACTGCATTTGTTGTAGATGATCGATGTATGTTACCGTGATTTAATATTGCATGTTACCGTGCTCGACAATGACAATCGTTGGCATTAAATAACTTTGGCAGAGGTCATTTATAAAATGGGTGAGCCAAAAAATTACCTCGTACCCTATTGTACTTTGCAAGATATGATACGTAAACGATTAGGACATTTACTCATGGCTCGATGCAATTCGACCGATATCGAATCGCTGTTCGAATTAAAATGCATGTAGGTATGTACCTACGTACCAAAGGAGTGCAATGCAATTTGAAATATTTATTGGAGATCCGTGTATCAAACAACATTTTCTAAATTCAATATATTTTTATTTATGAAGTACTTACAAAGTGTGTTTGTTTACGTTTCGTGTGCACGCGTACAATAGGGATGATGACTAATTTATGTTTGTTTGTCCGTCAGGTAGAGTGTTAAAAAATATTAAACATGTATTTTTTCGTAATCATAAAATTACGGCGTTACATTGTGTTGAAATTTCGAATGACGTCACGTTATGGTACGTTTTCTACTCAACTGTGACGTAGCGAGCCCCCACTCCTCAACTTTAATGCCTGTTATCTAAGCTTTTTCTTGTTAATTTGAAGTAAAAGAAATACGTCTCTAATATTTTCCTATTATCTGACTGACAGACTAAATAGAATTGCATTTTTTTACCCAGTCATCATCCCTATTGGTAAGCTCGTTTGAACTGCATTTGTGAAGATTAAGCGACGTTCGCAAAGGCCGGTAATCAGATGCGTGATCTTTTATTCTGTTTGGCTGAGCTGAGTGGAGCAGGACAGACGTTTACGCAGATTTTTTTTTTAATTATTTAAGTGTAAGATACAATATTGAGTTGTGGGTTAGGGCGGGGTGGTGCGATTGCGAAGATTATGCGATGTTCGCAAAGGTAAATAATGGGATAGGTGATATATTTTTTTTTTTATTAAGCGGTGTTAGGCGGGCGTTGCGGAATAGTGCGAGGTGATGCGGAGTGTGGTGGGGTTTATGCTCTCTTTTCTCCTATGTATTCTAACTGGTTAGTGCATATATGCATTTGATCTGCGATTGCAAAATAGAAGCAACGTACGCAAAAGTCAATAATGGGATGAATGATCTTATTTAATTTACTGACCTCGGTGGAACGGGGTGTGTAAAAATTTGATCACCTATCCAATTATCGGCCCTTGCAAACGTCGCTTAATCTCCACAATCGCAGATCAAACGCGTAAACTATTTCATTATTAAGCCAATCCACCCAGCATTCCTTACTGGGTCCGCGTTAAAGATTAGGATTAGGATTGGTGATGCTGAAGCACAAATATTATTAATGGATGAATCGAAAATGCCCAGAATTCGAAACTTCAAAAAAAATTCCGTTCCTTTCCGTCAAAAAAAATTGGCCACCCATCCGATTACTGGCCTTTGTGATCGTCGCTTAACTTCCGTAATCGCAGATCAAACGCGCTAAACACTACATCATCGAGCTTTTCACTTATTTATATAGGAGGGATATTACCATATATTTTGTCAAATTTGATATATTTTGATGATAGTAAGATTGGGTAACTGAATCGCTCCTCGATTTTACTGAACAGAAAATCGAAAACAGATCGAAATAAGATCGCGCATTCAACCGATCTCATACATTTGAGGCAATATCGCAGCATGAGTTGCATGAGTACGTACATACATGCAATTCGATGGCGAGGAGACTTATGACCGATATCTATAGATTGTGCAATTCATGAGTAACAGTCAATCGTTCGGCTCCAATGCTCTTACACGACATACTGCACAGCAAACGGTCTCCAAGCTAGAGCTGGGGTTGGAAGTTCTCCGTCATCCGCTGTACTCACCAGACCATAACGTTGGCAAAGATGCATTGATTGCATGGGTGATACTTTGATTAATAGAAATAAAAAATATAGAAAAAAATACGCTTCATTTTTTTCATGAAAAACGGCAATTTCATAGGCAAAGGCCTAATAACATATAAACTGTCAATGTAATATGCTTTTTAACCGACCTCATAAAAATCGTTGGTATATCCACTTGTGTTTCGATTTTAATGACGATGGGAATGTCTGGTATTATTTCTGTCTTTTTAGTCGTTTCTTCGAATTGTATAATTGGTTCAAGTTTTTTAATTTTTTGCCTATGTCTATATTAAGTTTATTATTATCTATACTATAAATTAAGATCCGAGAGAGATTAAATATTAATATACTATAAAATATGATGCATAAGCTATTACAAATAAAAGTATGCCAAAATATATAATATTTTAACATTTTATAAAATAAATAGGGAACCCTATAATTTTATAATTTTATTTTCAGGGTAACCATGGTGCTAATTTATTGCGCCACTTTTATCGAAAACATCGTACAGAGTACGATAAATTAATTGAGAATGATAATAAAAATAATAAAAAAGAAGTCACTGACGCAAACATAGTAACAGAGGAATGTGTGAAACTAATTACAATACATGGCCGTCCATTTACTATGATTGACGAGGAAGCCTTCCAAAATATTTTGAAATTGATTCCAGGGTGTGAGACTAATAGTAAAAAAATTAAAAGCAGCGTAGAAGACAAAGCATACGAGGTGCGTACAGCGATTTCTCAAGAAATACAAAATCAGCTAGTGGCATTAAAAATTGACGTTGCATCTGTTAGATCAAGAAGGTTTCTTGGCCTCAACATTCAATATATCTTAGATGGCAAAATAGTTTTAAGGACCCTAGGTGTTTTGGAGCTCCATCAAAGAAACACTGCAGAGTTTTTGAAACAAACAATGATGTTTGTTTTGAGCCGCTATGGCATTAATATTGATCAAATATATTCGATCACCTCAGATAACGGATCTAATATGATCAAAATGACAAAAAAAATAGGAGAAGCCTTACAATTGCAAGAAATGGAAGATATTAGTATATGTGATGTGTCAGAAGAAGAAGATAATTTTGAAGACTATGGAGACGAAGATCAATCAGATATTTTGAATATTGAGTTTGATAGCGGATACCCTAATGAGTCAACTACAAATAAAATTGTTGCTGTTCGTTGTGCGGCCCATACTTTACAATTGGCTGTTCGTGACACGTTACTGGGATGTGAGCCAATCTTAGAACAATGTCGTCGATTATCAAAATTGTTACGAACACCAAATATAGTTTTGAAACTAAGAGATAATCAATTGCTTAATGCCGTGGTAGATTGTTCCACAAGATGGGACTCGACCGTTGTAATGTTAGAAAGACTTTTAACATTAAAACAGTTTTGCCAATCTGATCCTGATGTTCTTCGAAGCATAAGTCTGGAGGATTCAACGTGGGCAACAATTACAGAAATGTTAAACGCTCTTAAACCATGTCGAGCACTTAGTAAAGTGTTACAGAAAGAGCAGCTGACTATTGGCGATTTTTATATTGCTTGGATGCGTTGCATAATGGAAAATGAAAATTTAACTTCTGCGTTCGCATTATGTGTCGTGTCGCATATGAAAAAAAGACAAAATATGCTTTTCGAAAATGAAAGTTTTCATGCTGCCATATATCTGGATCCTCGAGTAAATGCTGTTTTGACAGAGGAACAACTTATTAAGGCACGCCAACATTTGTTAAACACTTTCAATAGAGTTAACCAATTGCATTCTAAGTCTATTTCCAATGTTTCCATAGAAGAACTACAACCGGCACCTAGCACATCACAAAATTGTTACCATAATATAGATCAGTTTTTTTATAATATTCGACAAAGTCGTTATGCATCTAATCAGAATCAGCCAGGCGTGTCACTTTGCGCTCTACTCATAAATTTTTTAAATGAGTCATTCGTTTCTACTAATACTGATATTTTAAAATTTTGGAATAAAAAAAAAGGTTTCCGATCCACAACTATATTTACTCTCTAACATTGCTCTATCTACACCACCTACACAAGTAAGTGTAGAAAGGTTATTTTCATCACTCAAGTTTGTTCTAAATAATTTAAGACTTTCCTTATCCGATTCAATCATCGATGACATTTTAGTCGTAAGGAACAATGCTATTTACAATAAGTAAGTACATACACATAAGTATAAGCAAATTAATAGCATATATAAGGTGTAATAAATGGCCATTTTTATATGCCAGGACTTCGTGGGGTGGAGGAGTTAAGTATACTGAACAACTTTTACTATAGGACCAACACTGAATTCATGAAAAAATAATCAGCCATTTCATACTGTTGGCGATTGTAGGTATTACTTAAAATTTTGTATGAAACAGCTGATAATTTTTTCATGAATTCAGTGTTGTTCCCATAGTAAAAGTTCAATATTCTTAACTTATCCACCCCACGAAGTCCTGGCATATAGTATGTACTATTTATTACACCTTATATATGCTATTAATTTGCTTCTATTAATGTGTATGTACCTACTTATTATTACTTATTTATAACATTATTACACCTTCTATTCAACCTGTCTCCAACAGTTTTTGATTTTTTTATTTTCTGTAATTAATTATTGTTAATTATAATGAAAAATGCATAGTCCTGCTATGGCATAAGTATTTTAATTATAAAAACTATTAATATATATTTCAATAATTCAAATCAGTCTTATCATTGCAATCAGCCTTATTTAATACTAATTGCCTTTTAGGTCTAAGTACCCGTTTTAAATATAGTTGCATTATGTTGTGGCGTACTTGGCTATGACAATTGACCAATTCGCATGCTACTACAAAGCCGAAAAACTAATTACATCGAATTTCCATATCAGTCTTGTCATTGCATGTCATTCTCTTTTCAGTCATCGTTCCACATTCTTTTCAATTAATTGTGCCATAAGTCGTGGTCCTGATCTCAATTTTTTTCCAGTAATTCATTAGATGGCCATTTTTGCGCATCAGTGATCTGGTGATACAGAAAATATATCCTGTGTTTCATCACCATTATCGAAGGCATTCTTCGTATAATCTATAAAAGAAAAAAAGGTTTTATATTGACGGAAAATGTTACATAAAATGCATGCAATTTTACATTATAATGTGAATACGTCACAGTAAAAACAGTTGTTTTTATTATGTTACTGGCTCTTACTTTCTATGTTTTGGCGCTTTACAGTCTGCTTAAGTCTCATTATCATCTTATTCCGTTTCCAGTACAATTTGAACTTTCCTAAAACAAATTCAGAGTATACCAATTCGTATCTGTAATACAAAAATAACTTATTTTACTAAAGTTGTTCAAATATAATACTTATGAAAAGGTTTTTAAATACTCACCTACTTCATTTAATTTACGTTTCAATGCCATCTTATTAACATAGAATGAATATCAATAAAAGTGCACTATAGTTGCGTGACCAACACTCAACACTTATTGGTTATAGACATTTACACAGAAATGTACCACGTGTCACGCGCACAACGATAAACTGCGCCGAAGTTCGTGAGGTCATTGCCTAGAGTAATATTTAAACCGGTTAGTGAAAAAAACCGTATTTCTCTTGAGCCGTTTTAGAAACCGGTTCAAAGGAGCGGAACCTTTTACAAAAAGTTCCGCATGTACTTAGGTCGAACCGGTTCAAAAATTTAACCGGTTTCCAAGCCCTGGGATTGGGTGCTTTACATCATAACTATAATTTGCATTGTGAAGTCGACCTCCTACTCTAATGATCCTGTCTGAATCGAGAAAAGGGGAAAGTGATAAAATTCTATTTTTTGATGGTAATGATTGATTTGAACTTAAGATGTGATATTCTTCCGGAAACATTATATATTGTTGCGTGATGCGAATTAAATTATTATGCGCTAGCATTATTTCTGATAAAGATAAGTGATCTTTGTTTTTAATTTCTCTGTTTCTTACATTATTTATAAATCTATTTACGTATGCTATTATTCTGATTAATTTCGAGAAATTAGAAATTCTCTCTATCAAGTTTATTATTGAATTTTCTACTTCATCGAGAAAGAATGACATTTCTGGAAGAGGCAAATTTCTTTGAGTGGATGTGTTAGGATTGATCGATGTGTGCGTATGTAGTGAATGTAAAAAGGTGGGGCCAGTCCACCACAGATTTGAGGCAATGAGTGACTCAGCCCTCGCCCCGCGAGAAACCAGGTCTGCTGGGTTCTCTTTTGACGGCACGTAGTTCCACACTGCATCGTCGGTATTTTCATGAATTTCATTTACCCTATTTCTAACAAATGATTTTAATTGATTAAATGAAGTGGCTAACCAGCCTAAGACAATAGAAGAGTCTGTATAAAAGAAACATTTGGAAAATTTCTTTGTTAATGATTTTGTTACTTTTTTATAAAGCCTGGTACCTAATAAGGCCCCGCATAGCTCAAGACGAGGTATTGTACTTGACTTTATAGGTGCAATTTTATTTTTGGAAGTTAATAGACGCACACGAATGTTACCGGTGTGTGTGATTGTTTTGATGTAACAACATGCTCCATAAGCTAGTTCAGATGCATCTGTAAATGTATGTATCTCTGTTACGGTAGTGTCATTGTCATTAAATGTCCAACGTGGTATGCTTAATGTATTCAGTGATGGAAGTGATTGTATTAATTTGAGGTAAGATGATCTTAATTCATTTGGTACATTGTCGTCCCAATCAGCTTTAATTTTCCATAATTCTTGTAATATTATTTTTATTGTTACAATGCAGGGCCCTACGAGACCTAAAGGGTCGAATATTTGACTTATGGCAGATAATATGGTGCGCTTAGTGACCTTTAAATTGGGGTCCGAATTAAATTCATAAAATAAAGTATCTGTAACTGTATTCCAATATAGACCTAATGTTTTATTTTGAGTTATATTATTTAAATTTAACGATTTTTCTGTATCACCTTTTATTTTTAAAATAGATTGTATGATCTCTGGACTATTAGACTGCCATTTACGTAAATTAAATTTAGCTGTCTCTAAAACGCGAATGACGTCATGACAAAGATTAGTGACAGTTTCTATGGAATCTCCGCCACTTAAAAAATCATCGATATAGAAATCATGACAGAGGGCGCGCTTGGTATTGATATTTATACATTTTTCAGCTAAGGTAAGTAAGCATCGAGTTGCCAAGTATGGGGCTGACGCAGTACCGTATGTAAGAGTATTTAGTGTAAATGTTTGTAGTGGTTCTGAAGGGTCAAACCTGAATATGATTTGTTGTAGAGGACGTTGTGAAGGTTCTACATAGATGGCTCTGTACATTTTCTCGATGTCACTGGTGACAACATATTTATGCTGCCGGAAGCGGAGTAGGATTGAAAAAATATCGTCTTGTATTGTCGGTCCTATTCTCTGTATATCATTAAAAGATTTACCTGTAGATGTCGCTGCTGACGCGTCGAAGACCACCCGTAGTTTTGTTGTCGTACTGGAATCTCGAACTACTCCATGATGAGGTAGGTAGTTGTTTATGATGTTTGTAGATTTATTAGTAGTAGATGTAAATGCATTATGTGTTTGTATATATGTATGATTTGATGTATGTTTATGTATTGATGTTTGCATTGAGGTTCGTTTTGGTTTATGTATGGATGTATAAGTTAATATTTTATTTGATGATCGGGTGGTAGATGTAGGATTAGATGTGTTATTAGAAGTTATGAATATATGTTTGTGTTTTCATTTTTTATGTTTGTGTTAAGTGTCATGTGCCCAAGTGTTAAATACTCACGCATAAATTGATGATAATCGTTTTTTAACTTTTTATTACGCTGTAGTTTTCTTTCTAAAGAAAGAAACCTATTTCTTGCCATTGTGTATGAATCGCCCAATTCTTGCGGGGGTTCTTTAAGAGGGATGGTAACTATAAATTTACCTTCATCGTCGTGCCTCGTTGTACTTTGGAACATTTGCTCGCATGCTTTTTCTTCTTTGGAAAAGGAGGAGCTAGCACTTACAGAGTCTAACTCCCAGAACCGATTAAGTTGAGATTCTATAGATTGCGAAAAGTTACAAAAAGCATTTTTGGTATTTGATGTGTTGGGAATAGAACCTGATACGATCCAACCTAGTTTTGTCTCGCGTAATGATGGTTGATGTTTTCCCATATTGATGATATTGGTACCTAATATATTCCAAAATATTTCAGCGCCGACTAATATGTCTATAGAAGCAGGAACATTAAAGGAAGGATCGGCAAGTTGAATCCCTGTAGGTATGTTTATGTGTTTTTTATGTATAAACACTGATGGTAATGATGTGGTGATGTGTGGTAAAATGTAACATTCAATGTTTGTCTTGTAACTTCCATTGCAAGATCCTATCTCAAGTACACATGATTTTGTAATAGATGTATTATGATTATTTATGCCTACCACTGTGGAGTACGCGTCAAACCCGGTCAGACCCAGCCTCTCGCAGAGGCGGGAGGTGATGAAGTTGGATGTACTGCCGTTGTCCAGCAGGACTCTGGCAGTATGCTGAACACCGCTGATGTCTTTCACTGTCACCATGGCTGTGGAAAGCAATATATGAGAGTGGGACATGGAAGATGAATTTGATTGAGTATGTGCTGATAGTGATATAGTTTCGATGTTTGTATTGTTTTTACTATTTTCAATATCTTTATGAAGAAGAGTGTTATGTTTATGGTTGCAATATTTGCAGTGTGTCAGCCTACATGACGTGTGTGAATGTCCAATACGTAAACAATTTTTGCAAATATTTTTAAAGGTAGATATCTTTTTAATACGCGTGTCAACATCCAAATCTCTAAATGAATTACAGTTGAAAAGAAAATGTTCTTGTTTACATAGTGGACAAGATTGATGTTTTGTATTATTATGTATTTTTTCGGTAACTATGGCAAATGATTTTTGTTTCTGTGTTTGTGGTATTGTATGAGATGTTTTGTATGACTGTTTATTGCTATGTATTGTTTCGACTAATTCT